ACACAGACAACCTCTCGTCAATATGCATTTTTCGCATTGCATTGCTGCAAAAAACGCATAAAAACATAACAGCATAATAAACCGAAACGTCTTAGCTCCTCATTTTCAGTTCACACCGCTCCTTGCTCTTTTATCTCTTTCCATTCTCGTATTTTTCTTGGTTCTCCGATCTAGTTCGCATCCCTGTAAACATTTGGCCATTGACAAACTAGGAGCGAAATCCCTCAAATAGCTAACCTGTGTTCTTAGGCCGAAAATCATGTTTCTGTTAAAATTGCAATTGAATGCACAGGAAATCAATTCAGCAGTCACATAAAGCTAAGTAACAGTTATTTTAGGTAGACAGTTTACAGCGAAAGCTTAAAGAGAAAAGCGATGAATGTGCGACGCAAAACGTCGAGGTGGACCGTCTCCTCAGAGAAAGTCACCCTTCGTAACAGTCGTGAAAAAACTGTGAGCGCTTCTTTTGCATATGCAAATTTTTTTTTCAAAAATGCACAAAGCTTTCATTTGTCAGATACCGAACTGTTTTAAGTTAAAAAAGATCGCCAGGAACAAGATTCGAACCATGCAAAGTTACTGTCACGAACGACGATGTCCACAGGCCACCTTTTGTCCAGCACTTTTGCTATTGGCGTATTTGTCGTAATCTGTTGATTGCAGTTAGTTATTGATAACGCCGATCTACATGATCAGTTGCAAAGAGCTGCGATAGTGCATGAGGAGCTGGAACTGCAAATGATGGAGCTGCAGGAGCGGTACACAGAAGTGGTCTGCTCGTTACGTGATGCCGAAGAAGAGCTTGGAACGTATCGGCAAAAACAATCCGCATACAGGTCGCGTTTTTGGTTTCGCTGCATTTGCGTTTAATCAGCTGAGGACTATAATTTTACGCTTCTTTGTTTTCCATTTTATCTGATTAGTTGAATAAACTGTTTCTCAATACCATTTTCCAGTGTATTTTCAACCCTCTTGAAATGAATCAGCCCGAAATTCACCTCCGCATCCAAAAAATTTCTATTATATCTTGACAGTTTTTTATGCTTCAGTATCAAACAAAGTTTCTGCTGAACAAAGTTTCTGCTCGCATCTGCTAAATACTATACTGATTTGCGGATTGCCTTTTTTACACTGCTCTGCGCCTGTATTATAGAAAGTCGGGATTATAGATGCAGTAGATCATGCATTGAATAACAGTTATATATTCCAGAATTTTTTCAAAAACTGTGAAATTAAATTTTTTTACATTCTTCGAAAAAATTGTTGTTGTGCCCTTGTTCGGCTCGCTGTTTAAATCGCCGAACTGATATGAATGAAATTTTGGGAATTTGGCTCAAGGTCTTGTTTGTATTCCAAAACAACGCTTTCCTCTCTACTGGAGGATCTTCATGGCTGGCTACTGTCTCTCATGATTCCTGATTTGTTCCTCTTCAAATACTTGAGTTTTTTTTTTTCGTCAAGGCAGTATGCAGTTATTTGAGTATGAGTGGTTCAAAGCAGTTCATTAAGATGACATTAAAAAAAAACGGGTTTTTCATCATGTGCGCCGTTTTGCTGTTCCGTCTGTTCCAGCGCGATTGGCTGTTCTGCTCATACGACAATACTGTATTTTTTACATATGCCGTAACAGCAAAAAAAAAATTGCATGATGCCCTTTAGGCGTTTTTGACTCGTGTCTTGCCAATTATCGTGCAATTCGTTCCCGACAGCTAAAGAAACCAGCCCTTATACGATTCTTTCATTCATTTCCTTAGTTGTTGC